CCTACTATAGACCTGATTTACACTTGGTCATTTATCTGAAACCTTAGCGATAAATGATTGCTCGATCAGTTGATCGATCAAAATACTTAACCTTGATATTCTGACTTTGTTATCATCAAAACTATAATCCTAACACATGAGCCCCCCCTTTTATTAAAAAAATGAATATTGAAGGGAATGAATAATAGGTCACATGATTCATTTTTCCCTTCTTCCTTCTCCTATCCAGCTTTTTCCCCCTCCCTTACGCTTTGTCTCACATTGTTCCTCTGGTCGCGTGGAGAGTGAGAGAGAGTGACGTGTGAGAGGAGGTGGAGAGTGTGAGAGAAAAAAGGGTTATTGCTTGGTCTCATCTAAGTCGTCTAGGTAAGATATTTTCTTCCTACTTTCTCTATTTAACTTCTTTTATTTATTTTCTAAGTTTATGGCAAAAAAAAAATTTTTAGGGCTTGATAGATTTTTAATATTTGAGGCTTCTAACTTATTTTATGATATTAATGGAGCTTATAAGGTTAGAATAAGAGTCTTATGATCTAGATTTTTATTTGGATGGTTGACTTAAGGATATGTAAGTTAGGGTTTGGTTGGGAAAATTGTGATTTGTGTTAATGATGATATTAATTTTGAAATTGATCTCTTAGTTAGTTCATTGGAGGTTAATGAGGATTTTTAATGCTTGAACTTCGAGGATTGTTATTGAAATAAGAATGTTGATAATTTTTTGGAGAGAGACTTTAACTAGTGAAAATTGGGTGTTTGAAATAAATTGGGAAAAATTTTTTCCCTTTCAGAAAGTTCATGTATATTTTGCACCTAAGTAAACTTCATAGTATCTAGTGCCCCTTAATGTAAACTTTGTTGTTAACAATACGCATTAAAACTAACTTCATGGCCCCCTCTAATAGTAAACTAACGGATGTTAATGGCATGGTGCCAGATGCCCCTTTTGACAAAGTCATGTATATTTTGTACCCAAATAAACATTATCGTGCCTAGTGCCCCTTAAGGTAAACTTTGTTATTCAAATTGCACTTTAACCCTTGATTATTTATACCACGTGGTATAGCTACCACTTGGCTCCTAGTGGCTGGCTCCAACATTCTTAGGGCCCTCAGTATCACTCTTCCTTTGGCTGAGTCAAGGGTCAGCCCAAGGGACATGACACCTTTCCATAGTCCAAGGAAAGGGAATCCATGGTCCAATATGAGCTTTGTAACTTTGGCCGAGTTACATCTCATTATTGGAGAGCTTGGTGCAGTCTTGAAAAAGAGATGAATCTTGATATGTGTGAATAGCCCATGGGTTCTATCAGAGTTTACAAGGAGGTTATAAGGATGGTTAATGAAGTTCTGTGCATGTAAGTACTTTTTAAATTATTAGATATTGTTTTCTGTAAAGATGTTTATCCTATATGTTATTTGAAATTATACTTTGCCTACTTAACTATCTTATAATCACTCCCTGTATACTTGTTGAATTGGAATTATGGTTATTGGGTCAATTTGACTCACCCCGTGGTTATTTAATATTTTTCAGGTGAGGGTTCAAATGTTGGTCCCAAGGGGAAGTTGTCTGAGACTTGAGTTTTCCTTTCCACTCTGTGTAGCCTCTGTTTTGGTATACATGATTTGATTGATGTAAATTACCAAAATTTAGGGCCTTTTTATTATACTTACATAATTTGAACTTTTCCACTGCATTTCTGGAATTTTGTTGTTGGGTGGAGTCCTTTTAGACACATATGTGACTTTTATTTTGGTTGCCATTATTATAGGCGGTAGTGACTGTTATTCTGACAAGCTTCAAAGGCCCTAGCCTATTTACCACTGGTGTTAATTGTATTTTGAGATTCCAAAGTATTACTAATGGATTTGATACATACGTGAAAAATCAAGTGTTGATTACTTCTTATTTCATTAACTATCTTTACTATTCTAGAATAGTAGCCACTGCTCGGTTATGGAAATAAATTGTTAATGACTATGGTAGATTTCTATTTAATTAGTTTTGTCCTTCCTACCATGGTTAACCTTTTGAATTAATTATCATTTTAAAAATGTTTATTTACCATTAATTACGAGGGTTGTTACAAACTTAGTATCCAGAGCCTTGTGTCTTCTGGTTTTCTTGTTTCATTTTCATTATGGCATATAGTTGCATTGGCAATATACATTAATCATACATGTGCTTCCCCTTTATTATTAGACTTCTTTTAAGGTTTTCAAAGCCTTATCGTTTCTTGGTTGGTTGTGTTCTTTAGAGAGGGGAGAGATGGTAGATATGCGTAGGATACAGCCAGCTAGTAATAATAGCAACCTAGACCAACCTCAAGAGCCCCTCGATAATAAAGCTTTCTTAAGGGAGCTAAGGACATTGGTGATCTAAATCAGTCAGCAAGTCCAAAGACATGAGCAACAACTAAATGAAAGGAGACAGGATGAGGAGCCCGTCCAAGAAAATAGGCATATCAATGCTAATGAATCAAAGTAGCCATCATTTGAAGAAGATCACCACACTATTATGGAGACTGGTGAGGTAAACTTTGTTATTCAAATTGCACTTTAACCCTTGATTATTTATACCACGTGGTATAGCTACCACTTGGCTCTTAGTGGCTGGCTCCAACATTCTTAGGGCCCTCAGTATCACTCTTCTTTGGCTGAGTCAAGGGTCAGCCCAAGGGACATGACACCTTTCCATAGTCCAAGGAAAGGGAATCCATGGTCCAATATGAGCTTTGTAACTTTTGGCCGAGTTACATCTCATTATTGGAGAGCTTGGTGCAGTCTTGAAAAAGAGATGAATCTTGATATGTGTGAATAGCCCATGGGTTCTATCAGAGTTTACAAGGAGGTTATAAGGATGGTTAATGAAGTTCTGTGCATGTAAGTTACTTTTTAAATTATTAGATATTGTTTTCTGTAAAGATGTTTATCCTATATGTTATTTGAAATTATACTTTGCCTACTTACTATCTTATAATCACTCCCTGTATACTTGTTGAATTGGAATTATGGTTATTGGGTCAATTTGACTCACCCCGTGGTTATTTAATATTTTTCAGGTGAGGGTTCAAATGTTGGTCCCAAGGGGAAGTTGTCTGAGACTTGAGTTTTCCTTTCCACTCTGTGTAGCCTCTGTTTTGGTATACATGATTTGATTGATGTATATTACCAAAATTTAGGGCCTTTTTATTATACTTAACATAATTTTAACTTTTCCGCTGCATTCTGGAATTTTGTTGTTGGGTGGAGTCCTTTTAGACACATATGTGACTTTTATTTTGGTTGCCATTATTATAGGTGGTAGTGACTGTTATTCTGACAAGCTTTAAAGGCCCTAGCCTATTTACCACTGGTGTTAATTGTATTTTGAGATTCCAAAGTATTACTAATGGATTTGATACATACGTGAAAAATCAAGTGTTGATTACTTCTTATTTCATTAACTATCTTTACTATTCTAGAATAGTAGCTATTGCTCGGTTATGGAAATAAATTGTTAATGACTATGGTAGATTTCTATTTAATTAGTTTTGTCCTTCCTACCATGGTTAACCTTTTGAATTAATTATCATTTTAAAAATGTTTATTTACCATTAATTACGAGGGTTGTTACAAACTTAGTATCCAGAGCCTTGTGTCTTCTGGTTTTCTTGTTCATTTTCATTATGGCATATAGTTGCATTGGCAATATACATTAATCATACATGTGCTTCCCCTTTATTATTAGACTTCTTTTAAGGTTTTCAAAGCCTTATCGTTCTTGGTTGGTTGTGTTCTTTAGAAGGGGAGAGATGGTAGATATGCGTAGGATACAGCCAGCTAGGATACAGCCAGCTAGTAATAATAGCAACCTAGACCAACCTCAAGAGCCCCTCGATAATAAAGCTTCTTAAGGGAGCTAAGGAAATTGGTGATCTAAATCAGTCAGCAAGTCCAAAGACATGAGCAACAACTAAATGAAAGGAGACAGGATGAGGAGCCCGTCCAAGAAAATAGGCATATCAATGCTAATGAATCAAGTAGCCATCATTCTGAAGAAGATCACCACACTATTATGGAGACTGGTGATAGCAGTCGGCATGAAAAGAAGGAGTGTCCTATTAGTGATGTATGGAGGGATTTCAATAGGTGCGAACAGCTAACATTTAATGGCAACTTTAATCCTTCTAAGAGTGAACTTTGGACGATTGTTTGGAAACTATATTCACCTTGGTCCCATACACCTCACATCAAAGGGTGCAAGTAGTGGTTGTATTAATTGTTGATGTTGTAAAAAAATGGTGGGAGAGTGTTAGAACCATCTGATGAAACTTTCCTATATGGGAAGTGTTTAAGTAAATGTTCTTCTAATACTACTTCCTTTCGGCTCTCCAATCACTTAAAGAGACAGAGTTCTATGCTTTTCAGCAAATTGACATAGATGTGGATGCTTTTATTGCCAAAATTTTTGGGGTTAATCAAGTATTCAACTTATGGACAAACTAAAAAGAATAGTAGATGGGTGGCAGATAGATATTACAGAAAGCTAGACTAGAGTTTAGACAACAGCTAGTGCCACTCCAAATCGCTTCTTTTGATGACATGTGTACTTGACTTCGTCTCCTCAATATTGAGATTAAGGGTTATGGCTATGAAATTGAGCCAAAGAGGGACTCCCAAGGTTGTTTCTCTTCCTTTATGAGGCCTAGTGGTAGAACTGGCAAGAGAAGTGGGTTTAATCAAGGAAGCTCTAGCAAGAAGAGCCGCTTCTAGAACAGACAGTCATAGAGGCCCCCACTTCTAAGGGGTAATACTAGTAGGAGCCAATCATCATTCAGAGGCTCTACTACTTCTGCACCCAGCACTGCACATTCTCTAGCATGTTCCAAGTGTGGCAAGCATCATCAAGTCAAGTGTTGGACTTGCTTTATTTGTGGCAAGGTTAGACATATCTCTCGCTATAGCACTGAAAACAAATAAAGTACATCAGAGACCCAATCTACCATTTTTGGCTGTATGTTTGTGTTGACTCAAGAAGAGGCTGGTGTGTCTCCCAATCTGATTAGAGGTATAATTTCTCTCCAAGTTCATAATATACATGCATTATTTGACTCTAGTGCTACACATTCTTTTATTGCTTTTGAATATGCTAAGCAATTGAACTTGCATGTTTATGATTTGTCTTTTGATATGAATGTTTTGACACTTGCTGGATCTGCTGTGAAAACTTCAAATGCATGCTTGAATCTTGTGTTGGAGTTTGAGAGTCGAAAGACAACGATTGATTTGATTTGTTTGCCACTTAAGGATCTTGATGTGATTGTGGGCATGGATTTGCTAACAGCTAATAGTGCCACGCTTGATTATAAAGCAAAATTTGTTTCTTTGCCTGTGTATTGCATGCCTATTGAGGTGTCTAAAGGTCTTCCTCTGTTATCAGCTGTTCAAGTTAAAAGTTGTATAAAGCAAGGATGTCAAGCCTTCATGGTCTTCTTTTCTATGCAAGCTGAGATAGAAGAAGGGATTAATGAAATTGAGATTGTGAATGAGTTTCCTAAGGCATTTCCTAAGGAAGTGTTAGAACTACCTGCTGAGTGGGAAGTAAAGTTTTCCATTAATTTAGCTCCTGAGACAGAGCCTATCTCTAAGGCTCCCTATTAAATAGCTCCTGCTGAATTGGCAGAATGAAAGAAGTAGCTTGAAGAGTTACTTGAGAAAGTATTCATTAGACCAAGTGTGTCACCATGGGGATCATCAATGCTATTTGTGAAGAAAAAGGATGGAGCCTTCTGGTTATATATTGATTACTGATAATTAAACAAAGTCGCCATCAAGAATAAATACCCACTACCAAGAATTGATGATCTGTTAGATCAGTTGGTAGGGTCAGCAGTATTCTCTAAGATTGACTTAAGGTCAAGATACCATCAATTAAGAGTTAAAGCAAAAGATGTTCCTGAGACTGCTTTTCGTACCTGGTATAGTCATTATGAGTTTCTTGTGATGCCATTTGGTTTAGCCAATGCTCCAGCTGCATTCATGGATTATATGAATAGGATCTTCAGACCCTATTTGGATAAGTTCATGGTGGTGTTTACAGATGACATTCTCATTTACTCACAAAACGAAGAGGAACACTATGAGCACCTTAGAATAGTGTTGCAATTTTTGAGAGAGCACAAGCTTTATGCTAAATTGAGCAAGTGCGAGTTTTGACTCAAGGAAGTGAAGTTTTGGGGCATGTTGTTTCAACTGAAGGGGTTGCAGTGGACCCTATAAAAGTTGATGCAGTTCTAGTGGGAACAACCAAAGTCAGTGACTGAAGTAAGAAGTTTCCTATGTTTGGCTGGATACTATAGGAGGTTCGTATAAGGACTCTCTTAGTTGGCTATACTAGTTACTAAGTTGATCAAGAAAGACCAACTATTCATCTGGACAGAGAAGTGTGAAGCCGCCTTTCAAGAGTTGAAAAAGAAGTTAACTTCTGCACCAGCATTGGTTATTCCTGATCCTGCTTTGCCATACACCCTCTACACTGATGCTTCTTTGAAAGGTTTAGGATGTGTATTAATGTAAGAAGGGTAGGTTATTGCTTATGCTTCTAGACAGTTGAGACCACATGAGGAAAATTACTCAACTCATGGCTTAGAGCTAGTAGCAGTGGTATTTGCATTGAAGATATGGAGATACTACTTATATGGTTCACAATTTGATGTTTTAGTGACCATAAGAGTTTGAAGCATCTGATGGATCAAAAAGAGCTCAATAATTGATAGAGAAGGTGGATAGAGTTTCTAAAAGACTATGATTTCCAATTGAAATATCATCCTAGTAAAGCGAATGTTGTCGCTGATGCTTTAAGTAGAAAAGCTATTCATATATTTCAACTGAGTCTCTATGAGAACCATTTGTTAGAAACAGTGAAGGACACTGATGTGCTAGCTGATATGGATACAATCTTGTAGGCCATGCAGATTAAGAATGAATTCTGGAAGGAGCTCAAGATAGCTCAGTTAGAGGATGACTATTTATTGAAGATCAGGGAAGAACTAAAAGAAGAAGTTAGTGATTTTGAAGTTGGCAAAGATGGTATTTTAAGATTTAAGGAGAAAGTTTGCATCCCTAATGATGGAAAATCTAAGCAATACATTTTAGAGGAAACTCATTGAAGCAGGTATACCATACATCCAGGAATCACTAAGATGTATAATGATCTAAACCAGAACTATTAGTGGCCTGGAATGAAGAAAGACATGACAAAATTTGTCTCCCATTGTTTGACTTGTCAAAAGGTCAAAATTGAGCATCAAAAGCCACCAGGTTAATTTAAAATGTGGAGATACCAAAATGGAAATGGGATAGTATAACTATGGATTTTGTTATGGGGCTACCAAGGACACCTAGTAATCATGGTGTAATTTGGGTGATTATTGACCATTTGACCAAGTTTGCTCATTTCTTGCCTATACGAGCTACTTATACAATGGAACAATACGCCCAATTATATGTGAAGGACATTGTCAGATTGCATGGTGTGCCAAAGAGCATTATCTTTGATAACGATCTAAGGTTCACGTCAGGTTTTTAGAGAGCCTTACACCAAGCTATGGTTCTAGGTTGAAATATAGTACAACTTGTCATCCACAAACTAACGGACAAACAGAGAGAACAATCTAAACCTTAGAAGACATGTTGAGGGCTTATGCCATTGAATTAAAGGGTAGCTGGGACAATCACTTGCCATTGGCTGAGTTTGCCTAAAATAACAACTATCACTCGAGCATATAATGGCGCCTTACGAGGCATTGTGCGGCAGAAAGTGCAGATCGCTATTGTATTGGACAGAATTGAGTGAAAGAACTATCATCGACCCTGATTACATCGACCGCACTACAGAAAAGATTGAAATGATTAAAAAGAAGTTATTGGCAGCTCAGAGTAGACAGAAGAGCTATGTGGATAAACGACAGAGACCCTTGGAATTTTGTGTTGGTGATCATGTATTTCTACATGTCACCCCAATGACAGGCATTGGAAGGTCTATCAAGGCCAAGAAATTAAGCCCAAGATTCATGGGTCCATATGAGATTCTTGCAAGAGTTGGTGAAGTAGCATACCAGATTGCATTGCCACCACAACTAGACAGGTTCATAATGTGTTTCATGTGTCGCAATTGAAGAAGTACTAGCCCAATTCCTCACACATCGAGCCTAAAGAATTTGATTTCTATGAGAATTTGACTTACAGGACAGAATCGAAGCGAATTACCGATGTGAAGGAGAAACCACTAAGAAATATGACAATTCGACTTGTGAATATGGAAGGCTATGGCTCCCAGTGATGCTACTTAGGAAACGTAAGAGAAGATGCGACAATCTTATCCTCATCTTTTTAATTAGGCATGTAGAATTCCTGCTAAACTGAATTATGGGGGCTAAATTCCTATTTTATGAGAGCAGAGTTGTAACATTCTAAATTTTTAAAATTTTAAGTTGTGGTTGAGACTTATTAATTATCATTGAAGTTTAATCTTAATTACGAGTTATAATATTAATTAATAAATAATTATTATATATTTAAAAATATATATAATATATTTATTAAATATATATAGTTTAACAGTGGGTGGCATGTGGCCATCCACTGTTTGATTTTGGGGGGGTTTAAATCCCTCGATGGACTGTGACCCCCTCTTTATAAAAAAAAAAAAAGAATATTGAGGGAATGAATAATGGGTCATGTGATTCATTTTTCCCTTCTTCCTTCTCCCGTCCAGCTTTTCCCCATCCCCTTGTGCTTCGTCTTCACATTGTTCCTCTGGTCTGCGCAAGAGAGAGTGACTGTAAGAGGGAGGTGGAGAGTGTGATAGAAAAAAGAGTATTGCTTGGTCTCATCTAAGTCATCTAGGTAAGATATTTTCTTCCTACTTTCTCTATTTAACTTCTTCTATTTATTTTTCTAAGTTTATGGCAGAAAAATAAATTTTTAGGGCTCGATAGATTTTTGATATTTGAGGCTTCTAACTTATTTTTATGATATTAATGGAGTTTATAAGGTTAAATAAGAGTCTTATGATCTAAATTTTTATTTACATGGTTAACTTAAGGATATCTAAGTTAGGGTTTGGTTGGAAAATTGCGATTTCTGTTAATGATGATATTAACTTTGAAATTGATCTCTTAGTTAGTTCATTGGAAGTTATATTGAGGATTAATGCTTGAACTTTGAGGATTGTTGTTGAAATAAGAATGTTGATGATTTTTTTGGAGAGACTTTAACTAGTGGAAGTTGGGTGTTTGGAATAAATTAGGAAAAATGTTAAAATTTAATGATCCTAGTGAGTGAGAGGTGATTAATGGAAGAAGGAAATGGGATTGTAATGATGAAATGAGGAATGGTTAATGTATGGCTATTTTCTTAGAATAAAAGTAAGCACTTTTGGGAAATTTTTGGATTATTTGGAAGGAATTACCTTATTAATAATTTTGATAAGTGGAGTAGAGTTAAGAAGTTTTAGGATTTGTTATTTAGAAGGATGTTTGGAGGAATAGATGGATTATTATTTTTTTCCTAAAGATAGTCTCTCTATGTGAGACAATTATGGGGATTTAATTAATAAAATATTTTAATGCTATATTAATTAGTTTTTATTTATTTATTAATATATGTTTATAAATCTATTATTGTAGAGTGAGCTTGGTTTAGGCTGTTGGGTCTTGAATCCTCCCATTTTAGTTCTTGTGTCAAGAACTTAAGGTAACCACTTTCTAATTTACCTTGTATGCTTCTTGATGTGATTATAAGTATGTGTTGATATTCTAAATGTTATCATTATATGTTATAGTGGTTTATGTATAAAAAGTGATATATACATACATATGTATGTATGAAAATTTATGTTTTGGTAAATTTATTAGTTAAGTGGGTTTGAATTATTTCATCTTATGAATATCTTGTTGATGTTGAACAAATTTGATTATTGAATCTGAGAATACTTTATGAATAATGGATTGTGTGGAATTGGATGGTTGGGCTGTGCTGTATTGTGTTGTGCTGAAATGTAATTATGGGAGGTTTAATTATTTATACCACGTGGTATAGCTGCTACTTGGCGCCCATTGGTTGGCTCCAACATTCTTAGGGCCCTCGGTATCACCTTTCCTTTGGCCGGGTCAAGGGTCAACCCAAGGGACATGGTACCTTTCTATATTCCAATGAAAGAGAACCTATGGTGTGATATGAGCTCTATAACTTTTGGCCAAGTTACACCTCATTATTGGAGAGCTTGGTGTAGTCTTGAAAAGAGACGAATCCCGTTATGTGTGAATAGCCCATGGCTTCTATTAGACGTTACGAGGAGGTTATAAGGATGGTTGATGAAGTTCTGTGCATGCAAGTTACTTTTTTAATTGTTATATATTGTTTTCTGCAAAGATTCTTATTCTATATGTTATTTGAAATTGTGCTTTGCCCACTTAACTATCTTGTAATCACTCCCTGTAAACTTGTTAAATTGGAATTGTGGTTACTGGATCAATTTGACTCACCCCGTGGTTATTTAATATTTTTTAGGCAAGGGTTCTGGTGTTAGTCCCAAGGGGAAGTTATTCGAGGCTTAAGTTTTCCTTTCCACTCTGTATAGCCTCTGTTTTGGTATACAT